ATCAACTACAAGTGACAGCGGTTTTTCGGTTACGACATCCCACAGATGGAAAACTTCAGTGCCAATCAGAAGTAGGCAAAGAAGATCTTTTTAAGTTGGGCGATATTGTCAAAGAGTTAATACGTAAAGATTATGCTCCAAGTCAGTCAGGGGGTGATGATGTGCCACGAGCAGGTGAGCAGGGTAGTGGTAATAATGAAGGAAGAGAAAACGGGGGAGGGAGCGAGGGAGGGGGAGGAAACGGGGGCGGGAGTGGGAGCGGGGGGGAGGGGGAGGAAGCGAGGGTGGGAGTGGAAGCGGGGGAGGAGGTGGAGGAAGCCGGGGTGGGGGAGTGGGCGGAAGCGGTGGAAGCGGGGAAAAAAGAGGAAGTGACAATGGACAAAGAACAGGAGCAAGTGAGGACAAGAGGAGACGGGCAGGGGAACGGAAAGGTGGCAGCAACGAAGGGGTCAGCAGTGGATGTGTAGAGCGTGCCGAAGCAAGCGAAGCCGAAGGAATGCATGCTGGCACCGACACAGGAAGCAATGTGATGGTCAGCGGAGAAAGTGGAGGCACACGAGGTGGTGGAGCAGGTGACTCCATAGAAAGACCTGCAAGTACCCCACAGCAACATCATCTTGAAGTAAATGAATCAGATGATACATTTGAATCAGACAGCGATTCTGATCGGAAATATCCCAATCCACATTCTCTTGTAGAATGTGAACTCACTGAAGATCTTGATGATCTGGATTGGAGTTGGGATGGTATCAGTCCATGGTTACCAATGTGTACCGATGAGGTATGCTTGTGCTTATTTTTTATAAATTTTGTGGTACTGGTTGAGATATGCGATGGTTCGAGGGAATTCGTAAGACATCGATCAGTTTATATCACATCACTCCTACGGTAACTTGTGAAGCCCAAATGAGGTAGTACATGTTAATTAATGAGACAGACAGGAAATAGTACTTCCATTTTCAAATTGCATAATGTTTTTGCTTAAATTTGGAAGGTATTCACTGACACGAGTTGTGCGTACAGACGGTTGCATCGCTAACTACATCTCCGACGCGTGAACGACATATGTTAGTTCCTGTCCCCAACATCCAAGCCCATGATGTGATGGAGCACCCCCAGAAACACGACGTGGACAAAAACGAAGCTGGCTTGGAACTGGCAATGCACAGTCAAGAGCCGCAAACGCAGAAGCGGTTAGTGCTTAACCCTGTGTACTCACTCTACGTTATTTTCTACCAAACTGGAAGATTATTGGAGCACACAATATTTCAATTTTAGGATAACCTTTATTCTTGACTTCTGCATCCACTTTGAAGTTATTTTCAAATTTAATAGCTTGAGGACTTGAATCATAGCACTGTTGTGCCTTCTAACTGGAGAAGGTAAGATAGTTGTTGCAATTCATACAAGTATACTGTTGAGTGCATCCAAGCAATTCTATGGGCAAGTGTTAGTCTATTCAAGATCGGAGTTTGAAGTGGCGGGTAATGCAGTCATTTTGACATAACTACACGCAATACCATGAGGATTTGATTATCAACTACCGATGATTGCACTTGTTCTTTTTTGTCAGAAGCAGACTGGATGAAGGAGCAAGCAGAAGTTTCGTAGACATTAATAAGGATATTCATGAAACTCGTATTTTACCTCGCCCGCCCGAAAGAGTGCACTCAAAGGTACTTCGAAACATGCTTGAAGAGTAGCTAGAAGGCACAAGTACCGTATTTGCATTCAGAATTCTATTTGACTGCCAATCGTTGGTGGTCATTGTCTGGTTACATTGAAAAGAAGATGCTTGCAGAGAATGTGGACAGTCGTGCGCTCATCTATGTATCAAAGTGATGCAGGGATTGTTAAGCATAATCAACGAAAAAGAAGGCAAGGAAGTGGAAGTTTCCTTAAAGAAAAGTGGCACAATTTCATGGGCCAAAACTAAGGTTGTAATCCATCTTTTATTGCCTTCTACCTCTGTACCCTATGCTTGTACAAGGCTTCTTACAGGAACCCTCCTTACTTCGATCTGTGTCTACTTCGTTTTGACATTGTTCCTGTTAATATGTGAAATAAATCATTTTATTTCAAAGTCGATTCTAGTGCACTTAACTTCATAATGACATTGTGTCTTTATTATATCGATTGGTTCGTATGGTATGTTAGACTTCTGTGCGGAGTCGTAGTTTCTTGTGCCCAGCACGCAAGTCGTCTTGTATTTGGTTCAATGGATTGCCATCCCACGTGATGTGACAGCCTCATGCAACATGTTAGCTAAATAAGTTCCTGAGAACGGTTCAAGTAACGTCCAACGCTTCCGGATCTTCGCTTTGTGCTTAAAATCACACAACACAACTCTCTGTGGTGTATGTTTTGTAGGGCTCTCTGGAGGAGTGCATTAAGTGGGAAAATGTGGAATGCATCAATGGAAATCCAAATCACACCTTCGTGAACGCACTAAAGCAGGTTACTACGCATCTTACCAGCCCATTTCTTGCCTTTCAACTCTGCTCCTCCGTTCTGGTAGATGGAAATTCAGATAATTAGTTGATCTTCGTGTCTCAGACACGTCTGCGTTGTTTTGAAGCAATTTCAATAGTGTTTTGTCACTTGGATGAGAGATCTCTCTGTGCTCTTTTCTGAAGAGAGTAGAACCTGAAATGCTGAAAGGGAGCTCCGTGTGTAGGAAAACTGGGATGATGATAGTTTGTATTTGGAAAGTTTGCAAAGTGACGATGATGATGCGGAGCTACTTCTCAAGATCTCCTTCCTGACAGCGGTCAAAGTCTACTTCTTGATTGTCATGAGTCCTCCAGAAAAAGGTAAACTTCCACGGTCCCTCGACGTATAGATACATCTGGGAGTTCCTAACCATTTGTGCTTATGTAAGCTTTTGAACGAGGAAGTCCTAGCACCTATGAAGTTTACCGGCTTGCATGGACGGTGTGCAATGAGAGCTAGGTTCCAACGAGATCCATCATGCCAACTGAAAACTTCTGATGCCATAAAACTGATACATGATTTTTGTGCGCAATATTTAATGTGCGCTACTATCCACGATTGCAATCTGCCCTTTACTTGAGCTGGATTCGGTTGTTTAAGACCATGTGTTCACAGTGACTTCGAATCGGGATTGTTGGTGGCATGTCAGAAAGAAAGGAGTGCAGTACTACCTTCTGGTCTTTTTTGAAAGTTGTAAGTTCTGAGGAATATGTGTTGTTTCAGGCCCAAAGACATTGAAGCTTTTCGTGAACAGACCTGACATGAAAATGAGGTGAGACAGGCTCTGAGTACTCACACTTGCTGGAAGTAACATTTGTTGTTCTGAAACATGGGATTGTCAGATAGCTGTTGATATTGAAATTCGTGGTGTTCTTCCTGCTTGTCTACGGAAGTTTGGGATGGACAGTTGGTGTGGTGGGTCACACATGGAATTCTTTGATGCAGTTCATTCGGAACTTAATCTACTTATTTGCAGAGCCTAGGAAGTTTGAGTTCATGGTTGCTTACCAGGCTAGCTTGTTGTTATGGAATCAGGTATAGGCCAATTGGCTAATTTGACAATCTTGAATTTGTCAAGTTGTGAAAGCTTGGAATAATTACCAAGTGAGATTGGCTTATTGGTCAATTTGGCAACTTTGGATTTATCATGGTATACAAAATTGAAACAATTACCTATTGAAATTAGCCAATTGATTAATTTGGCTACTTTAAATTTGTCAAGTTATATAAGCTTGCAATTATTATCAAGTGAGATTGGTCAATTGGCTAATTTGACAATCTTGAATTTGTCAAGATGTAAAAGCTTGGAACAATTACCAAGTGAAATTGGCCAATTGGTTAATCTAACAACCTTGGTTATGTCAAGATGTACAAGCTTGGAACAATTACCAATTGAGATTGGCCAATTGGTTGATTTGGCAACATTAAATTTATCAAGTTGTACAAGCTTGTAATTATTATCAAGTGAGATTGGCCAATTGGTTAATTTGACAACCTTGGATTTATTAAGTTGTACCAACTTATATTTAGTACCAAGTGAGATTGGTCAATTGGTTAATTTGACAATCTTGGATTTATCATGGTGTACAAGATTAAATCAATTACCAATTAAGTTTAATCAATTGGTTAATTTGACAATCTTGGATTTATCATGGTGTACAAGATTAAATCAATTACCAATTAAGTTTAATCAACTGATTTATTTAACAACCCTTAGTTTATCAAGATGTGAAAGTTTGTAACAATTACCAAGTGAGATTGGCCAATTGGATAATTTGAAAAACTTGAATTTGTCAAGATGTACGAGATTGAAACAATTATCTATTGAAATTGGCCAATTGATCAATTTGACAACCTTAAATTTGTCAAGTTGTACAAAATTGAATCAATTACCTATTGAGATTGGCCAATTGGTTAATTTGACAATCTTGAATTTATTAAGATGTGAAAGCTTACAACAATTACCAAGTAAAATTGGCCAATTGGTTAATTTGACAATCTTGAATTTGTCTAGATGTGAAAGCTTGCAACTATTATCAAGTGAGATTGGTCAATTGATTAATTTGACAATCTTGAATTTGTCAAGTTGTAAAAGATTAGAACAATTATCAAGTGAGATTGGCCAATTGGTTAATTTGACAACCTTGAATTTGTCAAGGTGTACAAGACTGAAACAATTACCTAATAAGATTGGTCAATTAGTTAATTTGAAAACTTTAGATTTATCAAATTTAATTCATTTGCAACAATCATTAAGTGAGATTGATCAATTGGTTAATTTAACAACCTTGAAATTATCATGATATGAAAGTATGGAACAATTATCAAATGAGTTTAGCCAATTGATTAATTTGACAATCTTAGATTTGTCATGGTATAGAAGATTGCAATAATTACCAATTCAGATTTACCAATTGGTTAAATTGACAACCTTGGCTATGTCAAGATGTGAAAGCTTGGAACAATTACCAAGTGAGATTGGCCAATTGGTTAATTTAACAATCTTAGATTTGTCATGGTATACAAGATTGAATCAATTATCAATTGAGATTAATCAATTGATTAAATTGACATCCTTAAATTTGTTAACTTCTTTAAGCTTGTGGCAATTATTAAATGAGATTAGCCAATTGGTTAATTTGAAAACCTTAGATTTGACATGGTGTACAAGCTTACAATAATTACTAAGTGAGATTGGCCAATCAATTAATTTAACAATCTTGAATTTGTCAAGATTTGAAAGCTTGCAATAATTACCAAGTAAGATTAGCCAATTAGTTAATTTGAAAACCTTGAATTTGTGAAGTTGTAAAAGCTTGGATCAATTATCAAATGAGATTGCCCAATTGATTAATTTGAGAATCTTGAATTTATCAAGTTGTAAAATTTTGGAATATCTATCAAGTGAGATTAGCCAATTGATTAATTTGACAATCTTATAATTGTGGGGATTAAAATACTTACAATCATTATCAAATGAGTTAACCAATTAATGAATTCAAATATTCTAAAATTGTAAGCATGCAATTACTAGTTGAATGGTTTAAAGATCTTTAGTTTATAAGTTTGTAGAATGATATTAGCTGCAAAGTTGTTGTAGAATCGACACTATATAGATACCCTTCAACGAATGGGGGCAAGATGAAAAACTGAGAGGAACAAGACAGTAACGAATGGGGGAACAGAGGATGTGGAGTAAGTAGAGCAAAAATTCAGTTTCTGCAACACAACCAGGTAGACCAATTTCTCCCTTCAACAAGTAATGCAGTAGAGGGGAAGATTAATGGAGTAGACTAAAGCATGAGGCTCAAGAAGACAAAAAAATACAGTAATAAGAGCCGACTAGCCGTCCGAATTACAAAACTCTTTGGCCACTAGGTTTTGTTCCTTTCGATTGCATCTTTCACTGAAAAGAACCAGGGTGGGAAAAGGATTTATCAACCAAGAGAAGATCTTTTAAGAAGGAGGCGGATGATGTCAAGCAGTATTTCGCAACTACAGTTTCTCAAAACACAAACCGTGAACCAACAAAATTGTTCATGATCCTGTCTCCGTTGAACCACGACTCAATTGCGATATATCATATGTTTACGTCGTGGAGCATCAAGTACAAGTGATAACTGTTACAAAGTCAAAAACTGGTGGATCTGATTCAAACCGTGAGTGTGTTTCAAAAGTGGATTACAAAGGCCATAGTGAACTGTGCGATATTTTCAAAGAGTTGGTAAAGAAATATATGCTGTAAGGCAGTCAGAGGGTGATTATGTTCCAGGAGCAGGTAAGCAGGGAAGTGGTGATAATGGAGAAAGAGAAAATGGGAGTGGAAGCAAGGGAAAGAGAGAAAGTGACAATGGAAAAAGAACAGGAACGAGCGAGGATAAGAGGAGACGGGTAGGGGAACGGAAAGGTGGCAGCAACGAAGGGGTCAGCAGTGGATGTGTAGAGCGTGCCGAAGCAAGCGAAGCCGAAGGAAGGCATGCTGGCACCCACACTGGAAGCAATGTGATGGTCAGCAGAGAAAGTGGAGGCACACGAGGAGGTGGAGCAGGTGACTCCATAGAAAGACCTGCAAGTACCCCACAGCAACATCATCTGGAAGGAAATGAATCAGATGATACATTTGAATCAGACTGCGATTCTGTTCGGGAATATCCCAGTCCACATTCTCTTGTAGAATGTGAACTCACTGAAGATCTTGATGATCTGGATTGGAGTTGGGATGGTATCAGTCCATGGTTACCAATGTGTACCGAAGAGGTATGCTTGTGCTTATTTTTCATAAATTTTGTGGTACTGGTTGAGATATGTGATGGTACGAGGGAATTCGTAAGACCTCGATCAGTTTATATCACATCACTCCTAAGGTAACTTGCGAAGCCCAAATGAAGTGGTATATGTTAATTAATGAGACAAACAGGAAATAGTACTCCCATTTTCAAATTGCATAATGTTTTTGCTTATCGCCAATATGGCAGACTTCTGTGC